TGTGTGTGTGTGTGTGTGTGTTGTAAGGGGCAGAAACACAGCCCTGAAGGCCCCTCTTGGTTCAGCTTCCTACCCCAGCACTTGGGAAAACCCAGGCACAGCTGGGGGTGGGCAGAGACAAGGCCAGGATGAGCCCACATCCTGCATAGTCCCTTTGTCCCCGGTGCCTGCAGATGGTCACTGTGCAGAGCCTTGCGGCCTGGGGCAGGGAAGTTGGCTGCTGAGGAGGGGTCCACCGCCTACCTCCAACGGAGGAGCAGCATTCCTTCCTGTGAGCCGGGCATGGTGGTGCAGGCCTGTAATCCAGTACTCGGAGGCTGAGCAGGAGTATAGGGAGGCCAGGGTTCAGTCTGGGCAACTGAGGAACTTAGTGAGACCCTGTAACAAGACAAAAAATAAGGGGGGAGGGGGGAGCTGCTGGGGATGTAGCTCGGGGAGAAGGCCTGGGGTTCAATTCCGCAGCACCACATAAAAAAATCCTTTTTGTTAGGCTGTAAACTGGGGAGGGGGTTCCTCCTACAGCAGCTCTTAGTGCAAAAGGGTGACTCAAAATCTGCAGGGGTCCTCAGGCGAGAAAATCCTATGCAACCCCTGCCCCCAGCTCCAGGTACCAAAGGACCTTGGCCCCTGGAGAAGCCGCAGCCACTAATTAACAATTAGCAGTAGAAACGGCCTAGGGAGGAGGTGTGAAGCCACACCCTGTCCCTAGGAGGCCTGGGCCCCCACAGTGGGCTCTGCCCAGGCTACTCCCGGAGAGGTGTCCTCACTTTCCAACTTCCTGGGGATGATACACAGCTCCGCGGGGTGCTAAGAAAACAGGGCAGGAAGACTGGCGTAGGTGGTATTTTTCTAGGCGCTGCCGCTTGGTTTGTGAGTAGCCTCCTGGCTGTCCCCAGCGCTGATTCCCACCCTTCTGTTTGTCTGGCCTCTGGCTCTTCCTCTCCAAGCCCTTGCCCGCCTCTGTCTTGGCCTCCTGCCCCTCTCCCATCTTCCTTCCTGGCTCTGACCCCGTAGGGGTGGCAGGCTGGTGGTCACAGAGATCTGCTGTGCACACCAGGCTGGTGGCCTTTGGCCCATGTTGTGTGCTTAGGGGGCTGGTAGTGGAAGGGAGCCACAGGGTCGGGCCGACCTGGGAGGCTGGTTCCCTGCCGCTCAGTGGATGGCAAGAGCCAAGCTTGTTGTTGGAGTGGAGCCTGTCTGGCACACACCCGCCAGGCCCCAGCCAGCACCCACAGCCCTGGGCGGCCTCCCAGGAAGAACTGGGTGCTGGGTGTCAGGGCCCCCTGCTGGACATCCTGGGAGGGAGCCCCAATGCACCCAGGGCTGTGCTTGACATTCTGGTGCCCGGCCCAGGTCTGCCTCATGGGGGTTGCGGCTGGGATGTCTCCTGTTCTTAGTTGGATTTGTGATTGTACCACGTGTCCATGTGGCAGGGCTAGGATGAGGGACAGCCAGGCTGGGACTGGCCTGAAAAACCAGATGCCAAAAAACCTCAGTAATCAAGATAAGTTTTAATTCGATGTGTTTTGTTGTTTTGTTTTATGGTGTTGGGGCTCAAACCCAGGTTGTCTATATGCTAGGAATGATGTGCTCTGCCACTGAGCTACATGCTCAACCTCAATGCAATGATTAAAAAAATCAGAAGTGGAGCATGTTGGTACAGGCCTATAATCCCAGCTACTCTAGAGGCTGAGGCAGGAGGATCGCAAGTTTGAGGACGGCCTGGGATATACAGTGATATACAGTGAACTACCTGGTAAAACTCTGTCTTAAAAATAAATAAATAAATAAATAAATAAATAAATACCTTAAATTGAGTGGGGAAGGATGGTGCATGCCATCTAGCTACTCTAGAAGCTGAAGCAGGAGAATTGCAAGCTTGGGGCCAGCCTGAGTAATTTTTATTTTATTTTTTGTGGTACTGGGGATTGAATCCAGGACCTTCACACTGAGCTACATCTCCAGTGATTTTTAATTTTTTAAAATTTTATTTTGAGAGTGAGTCTCACTAAACTACTAAATTGTCCAGGCTGGGCTCAAATGTGTAATCCTTCTGCCTCAGCCTCCCACGATGCTAGGATTATAGACATGCACCACCATGCCCAGCTGAGTCTGAATAATTTATCAAAAATTAGAAAGGGCTGGGGATTTAGCTCAGTGGTTCCAGCACCTGCCTCAAAAGTGCAAGGTCCTGAGTTCGATCCCCGGTACCAAAAAAAAAAGATTAGAAAGGGCTAGGGACGCAACTCAGTGGTATATGCTCCTGGATTCAGTCTCTAGTGTGTGGGGGTGTTAATGTAAAGAATCCATAATACACTTCATATCGGAAGTTTTAAATAGTAACAGTTGTGCACACAAGGTGGGTACTAGGTCAGGGTTCAAGCATTCTCTCCTTGCTCTCCAGGCCTGGGCCCCGTCTTCCAGTCTAATTTCTCAGGCCTCTGCTTTGGGCAGGTCTCTGACCTTGGGGCCAAGTGTAGGTGCTGGGAGGAAGGGCAGTCATCTAAGGTCACCTTCAGACTCCCTGACTACTTTCCTCTATTGAAGAGACCACAGGCGCGACCTCTTCAGGTGACGCAGTGCCTAACCCCAGCAACGATCCCTGCCCGCGAGCGCCCGCGGGGCCGCGTGGGAACCTCGTGGCCTCTCCCCTCCCCCCCTCTGTGCCCTCCCACCTGCGGCGGGCTCGCGCTGGCGTCCGGGTTGTGGACGGAAGATCCCCCCCAACCCCGCCTCCTCACCTCCGAGCTGCGGCCGTAGCCACCGTGAGGGGAAACCGGGCCTCGCGCTGCCCGGGGAGTGGGGGCTGCGACGGCGGGAACGCGGGCGCCTCTGCACCAGCGAGAGGAAAGCGGGGCGGGGAGGAGGAGGAGGAGGAAGGAGAGGAGGAGGCAGAGGAGGAGGCAGAGGAGGAGGGGAGGCCGCCACAGCCCCAGGGGGCGTGGCCAGCGTGGCCGGGAAGGTGGCGGCGCCCCAGGGCCCGGGTTTAGGGGCCCAGAACCTGGAGAGGGGCACGCGCCCTGCCCTTGCAGGACTCGAGAGGGAGCGGGTCGGGTGGGGTAAGGGGGGCCCAGAAAGGGGCCTGCGTCCCTCGCTGTTTCCTCCCAGCCTGGAGCCCCAGCCCGACCCCGAACCCGAGGATGGTTGCTGGGAACCACAAACCGTCCCGAGGCCGGGATGCAGATGTGTCAGCGCCTGTGGGACAGCCCCACCGGGGCGCCCTTTGGGGAGGGAAATGGATGATGGAGCCGATTTTCAGATGTAGCACCCCACCACCACCACGCTTGTCCCCAGGGTCCCTTAGCAAATAGAAATGACCTCCCCACCCTGTACTGAGATGTCCCCAAACTTGGTCCAGGACATTTCCATCCCCCACGAGCCATCTGCTTCCCTCCCAGACAGACCCAAGCCATTAGTGGTCACCCGGCAACAAGGTTCCCAATGGAGTCAGGCAGGCAGGACAGACAGCTTCCAGGTCTTGATGGCCGAGCTGGAAACAAGTGTCTGGGTGTGGTAGCACATGCCTCTAATCCCAGCACCTAGGAGGCTGAGGCAGGAGGATTGCAAATTCCATATTCAAGGCCAGCCTGGGCTATATTGTGAGACCCTGTCTCAAAAAACAAAAACAACCCCGCAAAAAAACAAAAAATGGCACCTTGTGGCTGGGCGCACCCCCTCCTGCTAGGTCAGACTGTCTGGCCAGGCAAAAGTGTGGGTGACAAGACTTTCAAAGGCACCCCAATAATTCGCAGATATTTATTGAGCTGTCTTCGTGTCCTTGCTGCATGCTTGCCTTTGCGAGCAGGTCGGCCTCCGGGGATAACCAAAGTCTTATTATTTTAAGGCCAGTCTCGAATCTGGAAGATGACAGTCTGGATTCAGATGTCCCTCTAAGCTGAAGGTCACTTGTCCCCACACGAGGTATTGTCCATCACTGGGCCGTGCTGTCCCTGTCTGCTGGAGGCCAGGTCCCTGTAGCCTGAGGCCCGAGGTGGGGATATAGGGCACCCTTCTGGAAGGGCCCCCCTCGCACCCAGTGTCATGCCAGGCTGTGGCAGTGCAGTGCCAGGAACAGCCCACTCTAGAAGGAAGCACTTTGCCACCACAGCTACCAGGAGCACTGCCTCACTTCCGGGGGCCTCGCCTCTCCCTCCACTCCTCAGGGTCCACTCTGGAGGCCTCCCCGGTGTCTGGCGAGTGTCGCTGGCTGAGGATGAGCAGCAGGCAGCCCAGCACGGCATCCCTCACGTCCTGCGAGCCCAGGCGTTGGGCTAGGCGGCGCAGCAGGGGCAGGAGGTGCTGGCGGGCCAGGCGGGCAGCGGGCAGCAGCAGGCGGGACAGTAGCGTGCGCAGTAGCAGCGGGAGTAGAGGGGCGGGCATGTTGGCCAGGTGCCTGTGAAGGCAACACTGGCTCTAGACCCAAACCCCTGCTCCTACCTCCCCACAGTTTAACCCCTCCTGCTAACCCCCCCTCCCCAAGCACACCTCCACCCCTGGCACCCGTCAACCCGACAGGAAATTTCACCTTTTCTTCAGAGGCCCTTGATCCAGACCTGTACTCCCTGCCCTCCTACGCCCTCACTGATCAGGAGCAGCTTTCACCCTTCAGAAGGGCTACTCAGACTGTCTCTGGCTGGATTTGCCTGCAGTGGAGACAGCCTAGCTGCTAGATCCAACACAGGGCAGCCCCACCCAGCGTGGCCTGCCTGGGTGGGGAACAATGGGGACAGCTGTGTTCCAGGCCCTGTGTGAGAAGGGAACAGATGCGGAATTCCCCGCCCAGCTTAGACCTCAGAGCTACAACCCAGACTGTCCCTTCAAATGTATGACTTGAAGCATGTTGACTCAGGGCTCCATGCCCCTCATCTTCGACCTCATCACTAGGGGACGAGAGAGGGAGAGCTGGACAGGACAATGTATGACTCCACGTGTCCAGATCTCAAGTACAGTCGGGCTGCAGCCAGACACACACACACCCCGACACCAAGCCTGCAGCTGTCCTCTCTGGGACAGGGCAGTGGGGGCACCATCCTTCACCGAGTTGGGCACAGCTGACACAGCTGGGGCATTCCCACTCCTGGACAGGAAGGGATCACCAACCAGGATCCCCTTCTTTACCTACTCCTCCCAGGTGAAAGTCCCAGCAGGTAGCCAGGTACAGTGACTTGGACCTAAGCCTGGTTTTGGGTTTTTTTCCCCCAGTACCAGGGATCGAACTCAGGACCTTGCGCTTGCAAAGCAGGTATGGCGCCACTGAGCTAAATCCCTGGCCCCCTAAGTCTAGGTTTTATTGTTTCCTAACACTTCATTCTCCTACTTCAGGTAACGTATTTTTAATTATTAGTACCTGTTTGCAGGACATAATGATCACATTCATCATGGGGAGTTGGTACCCGTGCATATATCTCAGTTCTTTGTTACTTACCTTTCCCTTTTCATCCCTCTTCCTCACTCAATAACTTGGTCCCCTTCCCATTTGCAAAACATCCAACTCCCTGTTTCCTATTATCTGTCTTTTACTTTAGTCTTTAAATTGCCTATTCTTTAGTTGTGTGTCTGATTTCTTTTAACATTGTGGTCTCAGGGTGCATCTGTTTTCCTACACAGCACGTGGGTTTAATTCCTGTCTTCCTGGACTCGGTGAAAGAATGGTATTTGGGTGGCATCATTCAAACTTCGGAGCCTAGGGAAGGTGACTCTTTATCATCATCCACCAGCACTGCCATTAACATTGGCGTCACTCCAATTACCACCAAAGGCCTTGGAGATAGAAACTTCTGAGGTCAGGAAGGCCCAACCCTCCATCCCCTCCATGAGGGGAAGCAGGAGGGAGCTGGAGAGGCTTGGTTGACCAACAGTCTCCTTCTGGTGGCTTCCAGAGGAGGCTCAGGGGCCAAGTGCTCAACCCAGGGCTGCTGTAGGATGCAGACAGGACATGTGTGTGCCTTACCGAGTTCGTGTCTCACAAGTCCTCGTCGCCACTCTGCAGGGAAGCAGCTATTATAGCCATCATCTGAGTGTGGAAACTGAGCCTGAGTAGTTAGGCCTCAGACCAAGAGTCATACAGTGGGGAAATGGCCTGATCTCCCTCAGGCTTGCCCTGTCCCCAGGTTTCCCATTTCTCCAGGTGGCAATTGCGTCTTTCTCCCAAATCTTGGAAGTTATTCTGGATTCCTTTCCCCCTTTCCTGCCCCACACAAGCAAATCCTCGTGGTTCTACATACAAAATATCCAGAATTGAGGACTGGGGTATAGCTCAGAAGTAGAGCACTTGCCTTGCATGTGGCAGGCCCTGGATTTGATCTCCAGCACTGAAAAGAAAATTAAGAATCGCTATCCTCAGTGGTGCACACCTAGAATCCCAGCACTCAGGAGGCTCAAGCAGGAGGATCCATCCAGCCTAGCCTGTGCTCCATAGAATGTTCCAGGCCAATCTGTATCACATAGTAGGACCCTATCTCCAAAACAAAACAACATGGGCTGTTGTGATTTCTCTGAAGTTCACATTAAATCATCCAGCCTCAACTTGCAGGGGTTTGAGGAAAGCATAGCTCCTCTTCTTAGTCATTCTGAGAAAGAATTCAGGATCCAGTCCAATTTACAGGTAGATAAAACTTCAAAAAACAAGATTAGAATCGGATAATGGGTACATTGTAGTATTCTATTGAAACTGTTTTCTTTTTGGTTGGTACTACACTCCCAGATTTGTTTTTTTATTTGTTTGTTTTTGACAGTCTCACTAAATTACCCAGGCTGGCTTTAAACTTGTGATCCTCCTGCTTCACTCTCCCAAGTAGCTGGGATTACAGACATGTGTCACCATTCTCAGCTTCAAAGGCTTTTGAAAGTCTAGTCTAAGATTCCTTATTAAGAATTCGATCAGGGGCCGGGGATTTAGCTCAGTGGTTCCAGCCCCTGCCTTGAAAGTGCAAGGTGCCGAGTTCGACCCCCAGTACAAAAAGAAAAAAAAGAATTCGATCAGAAAACTCTGTTTCAAAAACAAAAAGTAGCGGGGCATGGTGGTACATGCCTATAATCCCAGCACTCCAGAGGCCGAGACCAGAGGATTATAGCAAGTGTGAGGCCAGCCTTGACTACATAGTGAGTTCAAGGCCAGCCTGAACTATATAAAGAAACACTCTCTCAAAAAGCAAAAAACAAAACAAAACAAACAACAAAAAAAGAAAAGCTACTGTTGACAGATTAACTTAAGTACAGTTCCTTTTTGGAAAAAAAAAAAACCCAAAAAACATAAAAAGAAAAAATAAAGAGGAGTTGAGGATGTAACTCAATGACAGAGCACTTGCATACCAAGCAGATCCAGCACACAGAAAGAAAGAAAGAAAGAAAGAAAGAAAGAAAGAAAGAAAGAAAGAAAGAGAAATAAAGGAAGAAAGAAAGATTAATTTTGAATCTAAGCTAAGCCTAGAACTTGTCATCTCACTGCTCCTGCACTACCTATAGATTTAGGTGAATTTTTTCTTTTTTTTTTTTTTTTTAGATAGTGTCTTTGTACATAGTTCAGGCTGGACTTGAACTCACTATGTATCCCAGGCTGGCCTCAAACTCTCAGCAATCCTACTGCCTCTGCCTCCTGAATTCTGGGATTACAGGAGTGCACCACCACACATGATGATTTAGGTGAATTCTTCCTGAGATTCCCAAAATATATTGAGGTTCCTGGCCCTGGCAGGAAGTGACATTTCTTACTTATCTGTGAGGCAGCTGTGCTGGTGCCGGAAGTAGGGTCATTGCTGCCACTACACCTGACCATATGGCTCAGAAGCCTTTGGAACTGGTTTGCAGGAAGAGTTGAGTAAAGTTTGGAGACATGGGCTGAAGAAGCCCTGGAATGCTATAAACTGAGTGTGACAGGAAATTCCAAGTGGACCTGAGAAGACCAGAATGCTGATAAGAATTCAGAAAAAGGAAAGAATGTGCTCCTGAGGTTTCAGATGGGAACAGGACTCCACTGGGAATTGGATTAGAGGCCATTTGTGTTATATCCTGACAATAAATTTGTTTATATTCTGTCCATATCCTGAGACTTTACAACAGGCTATGTATAAAGTTGGTGGACTGATATGTGATGTAGCTCAGTGGTAAAGCATTTGCTCAGCATGCACAATGCCCTGGATTTGATCCCCAGTACTGCAGGAAAGAAAAATAAAATTAAAAAGGTGGTGGCCTAATTTCTTCCTTCCTAATCTGGAGGAAGAAATTTCAAAGTAGCCCAACATTCAGTCTGTAGCATGGATAATGCTTATTGCTTTATAGTGAGAATCAGGAGAAAAAGCAGAGTAGAAAGACTTAAAAAAATTTCATTTTGGCTAGAAGAGCATTTATAAAGTTGGGACTAAGGCAAGTGTGGGTACTGAAAAAGGTCCATGCTATAAAAAGGAAACCAACTATTTTGCACTGGAACAAGAAGAAAGGTATCTTCAGGACACCCCCAAAATCAGCAAGACCCCACCCATTGTAGGCTCAAGAGTACAAAAGTATAAACCATTCATTTGAGAAAATAACTCCTGAACCCCTTACTCAAGAAAGAAGGCCTCCAAGGGAGTTGGTTATCTGGAATTCATTTCACTGTGCTCTGCCATCCAGGGACTCAGAGGCTGCTGCAACTGTGGTCCAAGGGGGTCAGGCTACTGCTTGCATTGGTAGCAGACCATCATCCAAGGCCTGCTGTGATGCTGGTTTTGCAGATATGCAGACATTTCAAAGGAAGGCCTGAGAGGTCAAGCAATGTGTCTTGGAGGTCCTGCCAGGAGCCCTTGAAAAAGCAGTGTATAAAGCTGTGGGAGTGAAGCCAAAGATCCAGTGGAGATCCCAGAGAGTCAGAGATGTCAGGAATGTGAAATATCTGCTGAGGAAAGCCACAAGCAATGAACAAAGCCATCCCAAGAGAGGAACCATGTGGGCTGCAATCTGCAAGGCCATAGGGTTGGGGCTGCCCATGGGCTTTGGAGATGACATCTCACCACCATGTGGCCTGGGTGCTGACATGGAGCTGTGGGACTTAATGTTTGCCCTGATTATGATTTTTTTTTTCTATCCTGCTATTTCTCCCTTTTGGAATGGCAATGCTTGCCCTGTACCATTTTATCTTGGGAGTGTGAAACTTGCTTTCTGAGTTTTACAGGGGCTCATAGCTAAGAGTTTGCCTTTAGTCTCAGAGGAGACTTTGGACTTGGACTTTTGACCAATGCTGGAACTATTGAGATTTTGAGGAAGGAATTAGTGTGTTTTTGATCTCATGAAGGATACACACATCATATTAGGTGGAATTATGACATTGTTATTGTCTCTATTTGGAGATTATGTATGGTTTAAGGAGATGTGTTTCGGTGTCAAGTTGGCAAGGAGTGGACTTGGGA